AATATATAGATAAAAGTTTGAAAGAGGAGAAAAAGGGCAGATTATTGTTAAATTGGGGGTTATAAAAATATGTTAAATTAGAAGTCATCATATAATGTCATAGTAGAATCTTTTCTCTTTCTCTTTCTCTTTTTTTTCTTTTTTTTTTCTTCTCTTTTTTGAAATGTATGGTTAAAAGGGGATGTTATAATATTAATAATATTTCTAGTAAGTAAAGGTCAGTATTTAGAGGAGGAAGTAAGTAATCTGTTATGAATTTGGTTTTTTTGTTATGAAGAAGTCACGGGGTGAGGGGAGGTGAGGGGGGTTAGGGAGGGGGAGGGGGGGAAAAAGGGGGAAAACTTGTATTTGAAAACTTTTTCAATAAAAAAAAAGAAATGCTGCATTAAGCATATAGGACAGGGGTGTCAAACTCAAAGCCCGCGGGCCACATCTGGCCCGCAGGGTGCTTAGATCTGGCCCACAAGGCCACCCTGGAAACAGTGAAGGACTGGCCTGTGTGCCTCTGCCAGAAAAAACGAAGCTCACGAGGGCCACACACGGCCCTCCCAGGCTCCGTTTTTGGCTGCGACAGCCTCCTGCAGCTCTCTGCCAGTGAAAACGGAGCCCATTTTCCCGGGCTACATTTTCCCTGGCAGAGGGCTACAGGATGTCGAGCTGGTCATGCCCACTCTGGCCATGCCCACCCCAGCCACACCCACTCAACCCCACCCCCCCGAAGTCAAACAACCCTGATGCAGCCCTCAATGAAATCGAGTTTGACACCCCAGATATAGGACAATCATCTCATCAGGTTTTTTTATTTTTTAAATTAGCTGGTCGTTAACACCTCCCAAGTATACTAACCTAACTGCTGTCATGACAGGAGATTTCTTTAAATGTTTTCAAAAGTATACATTTTGTAAGCTGCAAAATGGGAGCTGGCATTGCATGAGTAGCATTCAGCAACATTACCACAGCAAAACAAAAGAAACATCTGCTAGTACTACTCTGCTAATAATACCAACAATTAATTAAATGTACTAGCAGATTATCGGTAAAGCAACACAGGGCCAGGCTTAGGACTCTATTTTGATTATTTCTGCCCATCCAGCAAGTTCTGACAGGTTTGCTATGTTCCAGGTCTCCTTGCTTGGGCATTGCTCTCTGGCAGGAGTTAGGAGACAGGCCTTCTCTGTTGCTGCTCCTGCCTTCGTAACAGCCTCCTCCCTGAAATCCAGCTGACTCTGACCCTGTCTGGTTTTTTTGAAAGGCATTAAGGCTTGTTTTTTTTTTTCTTCAGCATTGGGTTTGTGCATGGAATGACCATTGGATCGGTTTTTCTCAGCACTTTACATGTTATATAGTATTTTCTGGCTTGGTCTACATTTTATGCCTTCTTTTATTATGTGTTTTAATTAAATTTATTACAGTTTATTAATTATGTACATTGTACTGAATTGTGTGGTGAGTGAGTGCCTATATACATTGATTACATTAATAAATAAAACACATAAGTCAGTACTCTTCCTATAAAGTAGCAACAAAATCCACACGAATAGCATTTTGGTTTGTTAAATACATCCTGAGATCAACATTAGCATGACATAGGTGGATACAGCATTCATACACAATACAGTAACTGTCAGGCTTCCTTCAACAGCAAGGTAAAAAGTTCAAGACTGCCTGCCCAAAAACACAAACCCTCAGATAAGTAGGTTTATTGTAGCAAAGCTATAAAGCCATTATGAAATAGTTCCAGTGAGTGCTGAGTATCAAATGTAAGTTCTATTTATAGTGAAAACGATATTCTCTTTCTCCTGCCTGTACAGGGCAAACATCTAGAAGCTATTCTCTTCCATTAATTTTGTTTTAGGGTTTGGCTTATTACCAGGCTGTTTGTACTGGATAATGTGAAAGCTTACTCTCACTCTAAAGCATCAGCAAACCAACCCAGATTTCTTTTTTTCTTCCCACTCTAACCATTGTTTAAAAACTAAAATCCCAAAGCTAGTCCACTTTTATTAACATGGATTTGGGGTTGGAAGGTTGAGTATTTGCCTCAGGGCAACCAAACATATAGCTATTTACTCTCCATTACTCTAATTTCGGCCTATTGAAGAGGTGGTAGAGTGTTTGGAGAAACAAATCACAGATAACACACACATTCCTAACTTCCACAATGCTACTGGAGGGTCTTTCTCCATTACTGAGTTGGTGCAGTCCATCCATTTTTGAATTGACCGAAAATGATACCTGTATCAAATTTGCAGACCTCACTGCTGATTCTTATCCTGCTTCTGTTACCTCTGTTTCAGGTCACTGTATTTCCTTACTTCCTTTCAAAATAATGGCTAGCAAAGTCCAATAGATTTTGTGTGTTTTGATTCTAACCTTGGGAACAGATAAGGAGAAAATACTTTTTTATTTTTTATTTTTAATACTGGTATAGCTAAGGGCATCTTAAGCTTGTAACAGTCAAGGTCTGAGAACAAGATGAAAGCAATGTCATGTGGGCTTGGAAGAAAAAAATGTTGCTAGGGCATGTTTCTGCTCTACTTAGGTAGGTAAAAGTTGGGAAGGGCCCCGAGAGACTGAATTTTTTTTTCAACTCAAATTAGTCACCTTTGCTGTTGGCATCTGTTACTAGGTTTGCATTATTTTGCTTAGATCCCCAATAGCAGCTTCATCTTGCTATTTGAAGTTGAGGATTAATCTTTGCAAATATAAAGAGGAAGGAGGAAGCAGGAGCAGAACTGTCAGTTAAATTTTCTGCTAGTCCAGATTAGGGTTTTGTCCATTAGTCCAGTATTTATTGTTTATTAAGTGGTAGCTGGGGGAATCTCTCTCCACTGGTTGTAATGTCAGCATAGTGAATGACGAGCAAGTGCTCACAAGTGTCTACCTTAAAAACAGAGTAGCAAATAAAAGACAGAAATATGAACATGTGCATGCACATGCACATGCACTGATAATGTCATGATTACAGAGTAAATTTTCCTTGCCAATTATAGCACTTTCACTTGTCCTAATTATGTCAATCATTTGTCTTTAGCTTTTCAAGTGTCTTGATCAGGAGGTTTTTGTGTTTATGGCTGCTGGTGAAATAGATAGCCACCTTACTTCTCTGCCTCAGCCAGGACAATGTCCTATCTTTCTACCCATCTGGTGGGTGCCTCTCTTCATAAAATTAGACTTCCTAACAAGGATTTGTGTATAGTTTAGTAGGGATGTGCAACAAATTTGTCTGAAGGCCTTTGAGAAAGAAGAGTCACATTCATGTCCCCACATGCTCTGAGGTACTTTTTCGGTTTCATATCTGAAGGGCTGCACAGCTCCATATTATTTTCTTTGGTTCATTCTTCAGGTACAGGGCTATCATTTCTCAAATATTTTCTCTCGTATAAGTATGATCTAAATAGTGCAACCTGTTGTACACTTTGGGGCATTTTCCTATGAAAATATGCCTGGGATTCAGTCTTTAGTGTATACTCCATTATCAATATTCTACAAATATATTAACTGTCATAGGCTTACACACATGATTAAACTTCTCTCTGTAGAAAATTAATAGCATATTTTTTTAAAGATATGCATATGAGAAGCAAATATTTACCAGATGAAATTTTCCCAATGTGTAAATCCCATGAAAATATGCTTGTGATTCAGCAAAAGTGTAAATAACCTTGCAGGATTGCGATGAATAAGCAAGAAGGCTTCATAGTGGCCTTATTCCCAAGCAAGAAGTCAGTAAAGATGCTTTGCATGGCATCAATGATCAAGCCAGCATATGCATTGGTAGTTTTGGAGGAATTATTGTCTATTATCTCTTTTCTGTGTAATGTTTTCATTAATTGATAGACCACTTTTTAGCAGTAAACTTTCAATGTGGTATTGAGAGAATACTGAAATACAAGATTATGTTAGGATTAGAGTCAAGGGTGGGCTGCTGGGGGTTCGCAGAGGTTCGGGAGAATCTCTAGCTAAGATTCTGTGCAGTTTGGAGAACCCCCAAATCCCACTCCTGACTGGCCCCACCCACTCCACCCCGCCCCTCCTAGGAATCCCCACATGGCCCGTTTTGGATGCAGGTAAGTGCAGGGCGCACACGGAGGCTCGGGGAGAGCAAAAAATGGGCCTACCAGAAGTTCAGGAAGGCATTTTTGCCCTCCCGGAGGCTCGAAGAAAACCTCCAGAGCCAGGGAAGGGCAAAAATGCCCCCCCCCGGCCGTGGTGCAGGAGACTGACTAGGCCACTCCCACCATGGCCACGCCCACCCAGTAACCAGGCAGAGAACCCCTTGCTAAAATTTTTGAAGCCCACCCCTGATTAGAATTAAATGAAAGTAAATGCAAAAGTATGTAAATGATATAGAAGAAAAAGACTAAAATGATTAGGGACAAACACAAAAATATTTTCTTTTGTTACAGGTATTTCTATACTGCCAAGATCAAATGATACCGGGCAGTTCAATAGACTGAAATATGGGGGTTGGAGGAGTGGAGAATGAGTTGTAGGTCTTCCAAAATTAACATTATTCTTCTTTTTAGAAAAAATGACTTTGAAATGAGATGGTCTTAAACATCTGCAAAAGGCTAAGAGCCAAAAGGAAGGTCCCAAATGAAGAAAATCCTAAATCTGGTGCTATCACTAAGAAATGAATAATTAAATAAAGTAGGATGCAAAAATAAGTTTTTCTAGGATATCTTAATGAGTAAGCAGGTTCCTGCGGAAGCAGTTTCTTCTTCTAATAGTCTAAACACAGTAATTTTTGGAGAATACCCAATGCTTTATTTAAAATGCATGCTTCCTTCATCTGACATTTAAGTGTTAAGTTTTCTCCTCATGTTATAGCAGTGTGGAGAAGGACAGGAAATGAGTGACCTCTTTTTCTACATCATGCTGAAATTATGAACCATGTACTTTCTTGCTATTCATGGTTGAATTTCTCATTAGCTAGAGCTAATAACCATAGATTGCCATATCTATTGCAAATTCTAATTAGGATTAATCTTCTTCAGCAGATGGCAAGAGTTATTTGAGGTTGCAAAGCAGCGCAAGAAGAGAAGGACAACATGCTCGGCTGATCAGTCCCACTGTCTTCTTGCCCAGGAGTGCTGTGTGCCTGATGTTTTGGTACCAGGTCTCTGGAGGGACTGGGACTATGCTGCAGGTGTGGCGGGAGGCAACGCATGAAAACAAACCACTGTGGATCATCAGGGAAGATCAAGGGGAGGAGTGGAGAGAAGGCCGGATTCTTCTGCCTAGTTATGATACAGAATATCAGGTGAGCATGTTAAGGTGTGGATTGAGATTGAGCATCACTGCACGTTCATCTCCCAGATTTCAAGAGACCATGTTTCGTTTGTCATTAAAAAAAGAAAAGAAAATATTGTTCATAAGAAGCTTTCCTTCTTTCATTTTGTTTTCCATGTTGCTATAGTAACTGAACAACAGTGTATTTGGTACATGGATTTTGCCTATTGTATATATAGCTTAGCTCTGGGTTTATTTTATTTTCATTTACATTCTTAAAAGATTCTCTGCTTCTTGCTAGACATGGACTGCAAAAATCAAGATCACCAGCAGAAGGCAACAAAAAGATAGAGTTTTCTCTATGTATTTTCTGCTTTTTGCAATCACTGAGATGTTTGCAACCCAGATCTGGTAGCTCTACCTTTTGTGATTGTTTTTCCCTCCCCTATTTTCTCTTGAATGATGATCCTGTAGCTTGTCAAGCAAACATGTAAGAAGTACCGGTAAATGTGAGTGCATATTGGAGGCAGCAGGAATTTAAGAGTTTGCCTAGATTGTTGGTGCTATAATTATTTAAGAGCCTGGAGTCCACACTGGAGAAACATGGAAAGAAATTGAACACCTCGTTGTAGGGGGGAAGGGAGCGATTATGACAAAAGCTCCAAAGTGGGCCACGTGTTTCCAGACATTTTAAACAATAGAGGGCAGCTGTGTATAAATTCTGAATGGGTCAAAAAAATCAAGATGGCAGCCAAAACATTTAATCAATACCCCACTCCTTTTTGACATGCATCATGCAGTCATGGCCAATATGCTGGCTGATTTATCAGCACCTTGCAGATGCCCTTGGAATAGTAGAGGCAGGCAGATAGATAATTAGAAAGATAAATGCCTTAGAGCAGTGGTTCTCAACCTTTTCTTCACCACAGACCTCTTTTAAATACCTTTGTGGTCACAGATCGTGGCCACAGACCACCAAGATTTAAAGCACTAGACGGCATGAAGCCTTCGTGGACCCCCTGTGATGACATCACAGCCCCCCAGGGGTCTGCAGATCACAGGTTGAGAACCACTGCCTTAGAGTAACTTTCTGACTCATGGTGACTGTCTGGACAAGTCCCTGCAGGTTTTTTTAGCGAAGCGTTTAGGGTTTGCTCTTACCTTCTTCCTAGGACTGAGAGAGAGAGTGACCGGCTCTGCAGGCTTCATGCCTAAAGCAAAACTAGAGCATATGGTCTCCTGGTTTCTAGCCTGATGCTTTAATCATTTTTGCAATCCAGGATTGAAATTTACCCCCAATTGCTTGTTGGAAGAAGAATGCTAGTTATGATGAAAGCTTGCATTGTAATCTGAAATTGTTTTATACAGATAGTCCTTGATTTAGAACCATTCATTTAGCAACCATTTAAAGTTACAATGGCACTGAAATAAGTGATTTATGACTGGTCCGACACTTACAACCATTGCAGTATCCCTACAATCATGTAATCAAAATTTGAGAGCTTGGCAAACAAAATATATTTACAATGCTTGCAGCAAATGGTCATGTGATCACCATTGGCAACATTCCCATTTGGCTCCTGACAAGCAAAGTCAATAGGGAAAGCTGGATTCACTTAATGACCACATGAGTCACTTAACATCTGCAGTGATCTTCTTAACAACCACGGCAAAAAAAGTTGTAAAATTGGGCATGACTCACTTAACTACTGTCTTGCTTAGCAATGGAAATTCTGGTCTCAATTGTGGTTGTAAGTCAAGGACTATCTGTACTATTTAACCACCCAGTTTCCTCCCTCTGAAAATCCCTACAATTTTTGCTTTGTGGAATGTTTTAAATTCTCTATCAGAGTTTAGTAGTCTAACCTTGACAGATATGCAGCAGCATCCAGGATTTCTTAGGAAGAGAAATAATTATTAAAGCAATTTAAATTTGATATGAATATAACGTCAGAAACTTCTTTTCAATTTGTATTTGCTTCTGCTCCCAACAATCCAGAAATGTTCCCTGCCTACTCTATTGCTTTTCACTAACCCGCATTCTGTTTCCCTTCACCACACTGAAGCATTTTGATGAAAATGCCAGTCTCAGTTTTAAAATAAAGTGTGAAAATGAAACCTGACAGGCATATTTGTCTATATTGCAAAATTAGCTGGAATACAGAATGAAGTTCTTAGTTTGTTTGCTTGGTTTTCTTTCTTCTCTTTGCAGTTTCTTGTACAAAATTAGTATGGAGTTCAAACCACTCATTCATAGTCAGTAAGAAAACAATACTTGGATATGGTCCAAAGTCCAGGCCAGCTATTTGGGATCTTTTTTTGACAGTTTCCATGAGTCTTATCACAGCCCAAACTTAATGGAAACTGCACATAGATTTCATCTCACCACACTCCCAATTCCATGCTATTTTCTTGGAAGATTAATCAAGAGCCTTGGTACTACAGTGGTTTAAAGCACCCTGTTATTAACACAGCTGCCTGCAATTTACTGCTGGTTCGAATCTCTCCAAGGCTCAAGGTTGACTCAGACTTCCATCCTTTCTAAGGTAGGTTAAACGAGGATCCAGTTTGTGGGGGCAATAAGCTGACTTTGTATAAATATACAAAAGTATGAAGGCTATTGCTTAACGCACTGTACACCGCCCTGAGTCTCCGGAGAAGGGCGGCATATAAATCAAATTAAAAAAAAAAAAAAAGCTGGACCTGAGAGGGGAGCCAAGATGAAGAACCACAATGAAAACAAATTACATTCTCTGGTGTTTGCCCACCAGATATATACATATTTGAGGCTTATGCACAAGTTCTGTATTTCCAGATCAACAAGTGAAGTTTATTTCCTTATTAGTTTAATGCCATTTATCCACTATTCAGATCTACTGGACTCTAGGCAGTTTTCTAGACAACCGAAAATTGTCTAGAATTATTATTAAATTATAAATGAATAAATAATACATGATATGAAATTGTTAAAACACGAGCAATTTTAGAACCAAATACTAGATTATGTTAGGGTAAAGTTTTTACTAGCCCCTGAAAGGCTATGATGTTTTGCACTGGTTTGTGTCTTATCAGAGAAATAATGTAAAATTTAATTAAGGCACTGATTTCAATAAAGCACTAAATTTCTGTAGGATGTCAAAAGCTGGAGAAAGGTGAAGAGAGCTGGAATGGATTAGAAGAAGCTGAAGATTGCTGAGCCTCAAGCTTGGTCAAAAAGAATTGTGGGCAGCCAAATATTTATTTCCACTCCAAGTAACTTTTAAAGTTAAAAAAAAAAAGCTATTTAACTTTTGGGGAGTTGGTGATAACAGATACATTTCAAGGGTTCTCTTGAGCTTTACTACCTTTTTTGTCAGTTGGAAACTTCTAAATACTAAGAAAATCTGATAACTTTAATCCCTTTCTTTGAAATATGCAAGAGTGGTTTGTGAATTTATTATTCTGTCTATTTTTACTCCTAGATTGTATTTGAAGGCACCATAAACAATGGGCATTCAGGAGACATTGCCATTGATGATGTCCGAATAGGCACTGATACTTCTTTGGAGAACTGCATGGGTATGTAAGGATAAATTTAATCTGTAATAAGAAGCAAAAACTCATCTGCAAACAATAGAATTGACAAGTTGAAGGAGGGAGAACTCTTATTTCTGATGTAATTTTCCTTGTCCCACATAACAACTATCAAAATATAAAGTGTATAAAGCTATCTATCTGAATCATAGCACTTCTGCTGTGATGATACTGAATGCATTGGAGGGTTTTTTTCTATCTTATAGTTCATTTTCATACAAAAATAGTAGTATCTGAGGGCTGCTTGCAGTTGCATGTCTGTAATGACTGTTCCAATGGCAAGTTGATCATGTGCATGCAAATTAGCCACTGATACTCACTTTTCACTGTTATAACAAATGCTAGCTGGGAAATATGAAGTGAGTATTTTATTTTATTAGTACCGATCCAATTCCAAGTGGCCTTCCTAGGGTGCCTATTTCATGAGAAGCAGCCTTCATATAGTTCCTAAACCATGCATTCAATCTACCAATTAACACCAAAGCAAACCAGGTGATCTTGGCTTTCAGTAAGGATGTAGAAGCATTGGCTATGGCTTTGCTAAGTGCCATCTCCATTTGTCGTCGTCATTCCCCCTCACCCCTCCCGGAGAAAAATTACTCAGACCTAGTTTACAAAAACTCTGTACTGAGCAGGGTGGGTAAAAAAATAAGTTGATTGAATGCATCCTGTCATATGGACAAAAAGTCTTGCTCATATAATCAGTGTATTAGAACTAAGGCTAGGCTTGAATAACTCCTCTCTGAAGGATTTCCTTTATTAAAATTTTCTGAATGACAGGAAGTTTTCATTTTTTAATTTTTTTTGTTTGACGTTAAGAATCCTATGACCCTCTCCAATAGTGTGGAATAGGCCAGAAACAATCAGAAGGCCAATTGTTGTGCACATGGGTGGTTGTAGGATGATGGTCCCATGTAGGACAACCTGTATCTCCCCCTTCCCCCCTGCAGTATGTATATTACTCAATTCCAGACTAGCAAGGAGCAGTGGGGCAAAATTAATAGGAATGGGTTACCCTGCAGCAAATAACATCTTGGTTCAATAGCTCTTATGTGCAAATGATTCTTCTACAGTTGTGGCCAAGAGGTCACATAGCAATCATCTTTGCAGGCAATCTTATCTTAAGGTTGTTAAGCAGACAGAACCCTGGCTGCATTAAAGCAAGTCTCACCCATTCATTTAGCCTATTCTGTCCTTCTGGAAGAAGTCAGGGAGCAAGAGTGCCTGGGGAAAGCCTGTACTGATGGTTTTTCCTATCCATACAGAGATTAATGTGTGTCTCTGCAATGGCATGGACTGTTCATAATAATAATAATAATAAGTTTGTTACCAAAAAACAATATCCAAGAGCCAAAATTAGTCATCAGTCAGCACTGTATATTTAGAAAGGGCTGATGAGATCATTAGAAACCCTTATTAATAGGAAATAATCTACCAGAAAAGGGTGGTGACATTAGAACTCACATTCACAAGCCAGCAAATAAAATTGTAATATTTTAAACTCTTAAAAATATGCCAGTTATTCTGCTATTGTGGGCACCTGAATTGAGGCAATAATGACAGGTGCATTAATGATCCCATCACACAAATACTTGTCCACATACTAATGACACCAAATACTAATAACAGAATTTATGGTAAGACATTCCATGCATGTTGTCATCTTTAGTATCACTGTGGTTTGTGCTATCAACCACTGAAATAAGACAGTAGTAGAGCACCTTGGGAGTGGCGGATCGTATCTTTGACATCATCAGTTAAAGAAAGGTTATCTTATCTTGGCTGTAAAACTCTAGGCAACCAGTGTTCAGGCAGCAGTGTTCAGTTTTTGTGTTTTTCTTGGCTGCTAGCTAATGGTTGTTTGTAGGTTTGCAGCCCAGATTTGGTAGCTGTAATTGAAGTCCTGGGAAAGACACTGTCCTTGATAGCAAATAATAGCCATCTAAATGATCTGTTACCTAAGCAAAATGAGCTGAAACATTTTAAAAGTCCAGAACATGATAACATTCGGAGATGGTCAAATAGATACCTTCTTAATTCAGTCCCATTAGGTAGACCAGACGAGAAAATCAATTCCACAGGTAGTTTCTTATATCTTTAGTTGGATCCTGGCACCTTAACCAATACACAAAACTTGCTCACGATTGTATTCCTTAGGAGTTAAGTATTGCAGTGCAAGTAAATGTTTGTTACCATTGTAGGTAATGACTTAGAAATCTTCTACACATTTACATACCAGATGCAATTTCCATGTTTACAATAAATGCATGTCCTTTCCAGCTTTTGAGAACCTGGTTCTGTAGAATTATTGACATGCTTGAATGTTTCCTCCCCAGATTAACATTGGTTTGCTGTTCACATAGCTGTTTGATTTGTTGAGTAATGTGGGGAGTTGCAGTTCCATGGATTGGAGCATTTCTAAAGGAATAAAAGTAATGGGGAGGTTTGAGATGGGGTCTTGGGACTGAGATGATGAGTGTTTAATCCTTTTCTTTACACCATTTTTAATTATTAAGTGTCCCATCTAATGCTCTTATTTGTCTCAGCCTCTCAGGATTTTCCTCTCATAATAATTTTTAAAGGCAATATCTAGAAGGAAAAAAAAGTCAAGCTCAAATGTTTCACTGATGTTTCTGTTAAATCATTTAGTATTTGAAACATACGTGAGCATACATAATCACACACACACACACACACACCAGAACTGTAAAAAGAAACTGACAAGCTTCTGTTTTAAAATTGTAATCCAAAGAAGTAATCAAATTCCTTTTCAACTTGAGGAAAGCATCTAATAGCTCACAATATTACTATTTTTCTTTTTCAGAGACCTGTCACTTTCCTTTTTTATACTGGCTGAGAGTTTCATAGCACTCCATTGAAACCATAGTTATACCAAGGGACTCCATTTCCAAATGTAATACAGAAGTCATCTAAAATAATAATAAAAAAGCCCTTTCCTTTTTTCTTCAGGAAAATAATCAGTGAAACACATTGGTCGTTTCTTCCCACTCTCCCCTCCCCAGGGGCTAGTAACATATTATTTCTGCTAAGTATCTATTTCTGTTTCGGTATTCTGAATTTCTTTCAGGCTGTGGAATCCTATAGGGGAGAACTAAAAAAAAAAGAATGGGTGAGGCTGGGGAAAGGTTAGATGGAGGAAACTGCAGTCCCCTTCTCCTCTTTTAAACTTGTCAAACCTAGTATCTATATCTGTAAGCTAAACTCAGCTCATATATGCTGGATTTGGGACCGAACAATTGTATTTGTTGTTGCAGATTTTTTGAAAATTGTTTTTATTCTCTGTTTGCTATCCAGAATCATTACCATGAGATGGGTGGCCTTGAGTGATTAAAGTGATAAAAAAAAAACCCTGCATATAAATGGAATTTGTGATATAACACTAAAAATCACATTATTCCTATTTTGGGGAAGAAAAAAAGCAATATCTCTAACCATCTCTAATTAGGAGAAATATAATTAGGATCCCTGCTTGAAACCTTCATAAACAGACAATTGCCATACATAATAGATTGTGCTTTAGAAAGTACTTCCTGATACCCATTATGAAATGACATCTTAAGTTCCTTTCCTTTCCTTTCCTTTCCTTTCCTTTCCTTTCCTTCCCTTCCCTTCCCTTCCCTTCCCTTCCCTTCCCTTCCCTTCCCTTCTGGGGAAGCTTTCCAATATATGAAATCTGTTATCATATCCTCCCATCTTACATCCACCTTACTCTTAATCTTTAACATTAATGATGTGTAATGTCCCCTGCTTACCACTCCAGTAATTTTATTACCTCATTTTTAAAACTTGAAGGAATCACTTATCTGCAGTTTCAAAACAAGAGAGATGCATGGGGAAAGGAAGAAGGATTTTCTTTGCTTCCCTGCCTATGTCTTGTGTTATTCCTCAAAAAAGGCACACCACCATTGTTGGTGGCATTTAGCATGTACTGTGTTATAAGAGTTATTACAAATGTTCACCGTATCAAATGGAACCAAGCTATGAATCAATATAGTATATTAATATTTAATGTATGCAACTGAAGGTCTTCTCTCAGGGAGCCATGGTGGTATCCATAAGGTTAATCCATTTTATCCTCCAAACAACCTGTGAGCTGGAATAGGATGAGAGATGTAGACACTCTCTGAGATACTTTGCGTGCTTTGCAATCAACACTGTTTCAGTCTGTTAGTTTATCAGTTTTGTTATCACCTAGCTTTCTGTCTTCTGGGCCAAAAATTAAAAGAAAATACAATTGCAGTTGTGTTTCTATTGCTAGAACACATCCTATTATGACCGGCCTAGTGGAAAGCCTGCTATCACAAACACATTTTTAGAGCGTTATCCTCAGTGAATACAGAAGATCCTACCCCACCCCCTAAAAAATTGGCTACCACTTGTACAAATTGAAAAAGAGGTTCTTCAAGATTAGAGGTTTCAAGATACTCCCTGTGATCATATGGGTTACTATCTTCAGGATCTATAATTTGCTGATGGAAACACTCACTTTCAGCTCTTCTTTTTATTTACAGAACCCATTGCAGCTTTCCCTGGAGAACACACATTTGAAATTTCAGGTAAAAATGCACTTTTTCTTCTACTTGCCTTTATTTTACTGCATGGTTTATTTTCTGATTTTTTTTTAATACTTAAAAATGAATGTGTGTGCAGAAAGTGAGATGCAACCAAACAAAACTAACACAAAATTGCTATGCAAATAAAAAGCTTTTAAGTATGATAAAATCAAAGTGAGAGGATTTAAAAAGAGTGTAAAATACAGAATTAATTCTATAAAATAACTTGAGCCAGTTTCAGTTATAAGAATGCTTGCAGAATGTTTTTAAAGTTGTACAGATCTGCTCGCTTTTATGTATTAGCACCCTAATGAATCATTTTCTGAGTAAGATGGGTGGTTTGTAAATTTGATAAATAAAAATAATGAGTGTGTGTCCTCCTATCTGTATGTGCATTCTCACCTAATGTCAGTTGGAAGATGTCTTTGGGGGAAGAGCAAGCATGCTTTTACTCGGATAATATCCTGGGAAGTTCAACCCAACTTTGCAACTTACTGCTTTACCTTTAAAAAAAAATAGAGCTATATCTCTCTTTAACAATTCTGCCTAAGTTCAAGTCATTAGGGTAGCAAATGCTTCTTCCACTGAATTTCTTTTTATCATATACCTAAAAGGTAAAATGGCCTGCATAGAGTGCAAATCCTGCACTGATTATTTGGAAGATGGTCACATAGGTATCTTTGTTAAGATGAATGGGAGTTGAAACACATTTTCTGTCCTCTCTCTCTGGTTCAGAAGTGATGACAACAAAACCTGTTTAACTCTGTTGTGTAGCTTAATTGAAAATCTTCTAGAAATACTGCCTTGAAAAGGATATCTAATACCGTAGCTATGGATAATCCAAGGCCACATGTCGCTCTGAAATCTTCCAAAACTCAGGGACTCTACCAACAACATTTGGTAGCAAACTGTCAAGTTGCAGGAGCTCAGTTTCCTGCCAGTAAAAAAGGTTTTTAAAAAAGGTTTTGAGTAGATTTTTCACACCTAAAAAAAATTAAAGGGAAAAAAGCCACAAATGACCCACAAAACCTTCTTCAGGTGCTGCAGCCTCACTTAGGGCTATCCTGTTGGGGTTTCAGAAATCCAGATGTCCATTAAAGGACAGCAGAGTTTTTAAAAATTGTATCTCTTTGCTCCCAAGTAGTAGCCATATAGATTTTTGGATATAGTAATCCTACACTAGTCACTGGTAAAAATGGATAAAATTAAAGATGGTCATTGGAAAGTTGCCCAGAGCTGAATTGTAAGAATGCTAAAGCTGCATTGCAGGGCTAGTACAGAAGTTACATCTAGCTGTATTAGGAATCAGACCATCTAATAATAGAGATCATAAAGATGCAAATGAACTCCTCTCCGTCTGCAGCACCAGGCAAGGAGCAGTGAAGCTTTAAGATATAAGAGGGGGGAATAAATGGCCACCACAGAGAGGCTTAACCTCCAAATCAGAGTGAATTAGAAGTGCAATGAGCTGGCAGTGATGACTATTTAGCATTATGTTTTTAGCCAACAAGTGCCAAGGCAGGGACCATAGCAGGTGTAGGGAGGAGGGAACTGCAGCAGAGGAACAACTGTCACCCTGAGTTTGAAGGCTGACATTTAGTCAGAGAGAAGAAGGGTGAAATGGTGCATTTAATAGCTTAATGCTGGCCTGAAGAAAAGAAAATGGGATGCCTTAGATTGATAAAACTTGTAGAAAGAAGCAAAAGGGGAAAGGAATGCAGAGAGATTGTCCTGCTCATTAAACTTGATTCTGAATCAGTGGAGATGAGCTGTTGTGTGTCTGTCAGGAAGAGTGGGGGGAGGAAGCCAAACATCTCTTTTTTAATCTGGGGAAAAATTTCATTTTGTTTTGTTTCACAGGGCTTTTTGCCTTTCCCTTGTCAAATGCAAAACTCTAGTGTGGCCAAAAGGAAGAGGATTCGTTTCCAAAAGCTTTCAGTGCAGATTAAATCATTTTTGTTGCATTGATTAATGGATAGATAGTCCTTCCTTGAGCAATTTCAGGCTATTGGCAACATATTGCCAGACATTGCTGGCTGTGACTTCCAGAAGAAATGTATTTTGAGTAGTTGGGAGAAGCTGGCTTAGTTCTGAAAAATAGTTTGCAAATTCCTTGCGCATTAAGATTTAGAGCCTAGTAGAAAATCTGCTATAGCCAAAGATGAAAGGTATATTGACCTTCAAAACTTTTTACTTAGGTCTTAAGTTAAAGAAGAAGGGTTTTTTTTAGCAACCTTGGCATGATTGTTGGCTTATTTTCCCAATTGAAAGTAGTGTAATAGTTTGATCTCAAACGTTGTTTTGTGCATAGCAATTGTCACTGTTGTGCTAATGTTGCAAAGATGCTATATAGATGCTGCAAGGCAAAATGAATGATGGATGAAGTGATCATTTCACATTTGTTGATTGGTGAGAGATAACTACAAAAGCTTACATATGTGCAGCATTTATTGGCCTTTTAAAATTTGCTATTAAACCCTCATTATATAGAATGGACAAGGAGTATTGGCAACATTTTGGCTCAAACCACTCCATATTTAATTAGAAAGATTTTGGTATTGTACTATGTTTGAAACACAGGACTGATTTAAAAGTCTATTGGAGTAGAACTACTTATCCAACCTGGTTTAGAATGCCGTGTATCTGGCTAAAAATGTAAGTGTATCATGAACTTTTGTTTTGAATACTTAAAGTAAAGGAGGAGAACTATGTCTCCTAGGCAGGAAGAATAGCTTTGCACATCTCGAATGGGATACATTGGTATCCAGAGCTATTGATAGCTTCTCTTTCTAACTGGAGAAAAACTGAGCCAAGGCCTGAGCTCTAATTCCAATGTTTCCCCTCCTTCTGGGAGAAGTTTGGACAGTACTTCCTTAGCCTACAGGTGTGGATTCATACAGATAAATGCTTTTCTATGTAAACATTCACACCATATTGCTTAAAAACTCAGATGTTATAAAGTAAAATCCACCCCTATATATTCCTTGATAATCTTAATCTTCTATGTGTGTGGACTTGCTTTATTTTGCTTTTTTAAATTTTTATGGAAAAATGCATACTCCCATCAGTGGGTTTCAGTGGTGAAATCCAAATTTTTTTACTACTAGTTCTGTGAGTGTGGCTTGGTGGACCTGGTGTGGCTTGGTGGGTGTGGCTTGGTGGGCGTGGCAGGGGAAGGATACTGCAAAATCTCCATTCCCATCCTACTCCTGGGGGAAGAATATTGCAAAATCCCAATTCCCACCCCACTCTGGGGCCAGCCAGAGGTGGTAATTGCCAGTTCTCCAAACTACTCAAAATTTCCGCTACCGGTTCTCCGAACTGCTCAAAATTTGCTCAAAATTTCCGCTACCGGTTCTCCAGAACCTGCTGGATTTCACCCCTGCATTCTCCTCACTTTTAAGTTGAATGATTGTCAGTCTAATTTCCAAATATTTATTGGATTCTCCAGATTCTTTGTGCAAAAAAGTCAACCAAATTAAAATTCCTAACTATTCCTGAAAATGCGGGGTGGAGGTGGGGGAACCTACCTTTATGCTTAGTGAAAACACTGCTGATCTAAAAATAAATTTCTTGAAAATATATACTGCAATTGCAATTACAATCCTGAAGGGTAGATATTAGGAGAGTAGCTGGACACACTTTGCTTGTTTCCTACATGAAGCACCTTAATCGGAAAGTAGATTTTCCTATCATCCAATTTGGATGATGTCACATGGAAGAAGATAGGAAGACTTTTACAGATTGTTTCTCTTTTAGAAAGGACTTGCAAATCTTTTGAGAGACTGGGCGAGATTTCCTTTAATGTCTTTAAATTTGCCTGTGCAAAAGGCAGCAAAGTCAGTTGTTTCATACACACACAAGCCAGCAAAGAGTTCCCTTCTCCCAGCCTTTCATATTCTATTCTTTCCTGCCCAATGTGCTGCTAAACTGAGCACAGGGAGAACCAATGGGAAAAAAGTCTCAGTTTTCTAATTTCTCACACCACTGACAATATGAGGGCAGTCTCCAAGCAGCAACCTGGCATTTTCAGTTTATACATTGCTTAAGAACAGATCTGTGTTTTCTCTTACATGTACACAAGAAGAGGCATGTGTTTTCAAATACCTGCTCATCATATCTATTTTTGGCATATTTAGGGATACGCTTTAAATAGAAAAATATAAAGTGCCCATCTTGAAAATATAATATGTAAAGAATTATATGCCAACATATAATATCTGGCAACAGCTTGAGCTACTTATGTGGATGCTTTCTATTTAGCACTACAGATTTTCTTTTCTTTTTTCTGTTCCTTCCTGCCTATTGCTGCTAGAGTCCCACTTTCCTTTTAGTCTGAGAGAAAAAGCTCATCATCTTAAAGGACAACATACAAGGGGCTGTTTTCTGCTGATGCAGGACAACATTCCATCACACCAAGTGCTGAGAAATGCAGCTAGTAGTAATTCCCAAGCCTTCACCTGTTCTATATGCTAATCTTTCTATTTCACACTCTTGTGATAAGGTCTTCTTAACCCATTCTTCATGTTACAACAGGGACCAGCCATTTTTCAACCATAATCCATTGTGTTTATTCCTACATCATAGTTGTAAATGGCAGAATTAAAGGAAAACCTTCTTGATAGAATGAATATGATATTCCATAACACACTACAGTGTTTAGTTGAACATAGCAATAGGACAGTAAACTCAAACCTATTGTTTGAGTGCTTGGTTTTCCAATGTCTGACTGAGGAGAATTATTGTCACCCTTTGAAATGAGGTAAGGGGTAATGTCAGCTAAAACTTAGCTGATATTTCTGAACTAGCATCTTAGAGACTGCTCTTTACATTGGTTTATTTAGACTAAGTTCCATTGTGCTGTTCAGCACTTTAGGCAATGATTCTAGCAAAGTGTTTTTTTATATGCGTATTTGATTCATACCAAATAATCCTGATTACATGAGCCTTTTGAACAATACATCTAGATATATGGCATAAATAAGCTCTGGTTTAATTTGTAT